GGGCAGTGACCCCAAATAGTGGGGACAGTCCCATGGAGACCCCAGGGTGGGCAGTGACCCCAAATAGTGGGGACAGTCCCACGGAGACCCCAGGGTGGGCAGTGACCCCAAATAGTGGCAGTTACACTGAATACTGACAAGGACCCCAAATGGTGACAGTGACCCCAAATGGTGACAGTTACCCTAAACGGTGACAGTGACCCTGAAATACTGACAGTGACCCCAAATAGTGACAGCTACACTGAATGGTGACAGTGACCCTAAATGGTGACAAATGGTGACAGTGACCCCAAAATACTGATAGTGACCCCAAATGGTGACAGTGACCCCAAATAGTGACAGTTACCCTAAACGGTGACAGTGACCCCAAATACTGACAGTGACCCCAGAAGGTGATCCTGACCCCAAAATACTGACAGTGACCCCAAATGGTGACAGTGACCCCAAATAGTGACAGTTACCCTAAACGGTGACAGTGACCCTGAAATACTGACAGTGATCCCAAATGGTGACAACTACACTAAATGGTGACAGTGACCCTAAATGGTGACAAATGGTGACAGTGACCCCAGAGGTGACCCTGACCCCAAAATACTGACAGTGGCCTCAAATGGTGACAGTGACCCCAAATAGTGACAGTGACCCCAAATAGTGACAGCTACACTAAATGGTGACAGTGACCCCAGAAGGTGATCCTGACCCCAAATGGTGACAGTGACCCTGAAATACTGACAGTGACCACAAATAGTGACAGCTACACTAAATGGTGACAGTGACCCTAAATGGTGGCAGTGACCCCAGAGGGTGATCCTGACCCCAAAATACTGACAGTGACCCCAAATGGTGACAGTGACCCCAAATAGTGACAGTGATCCCAAATAGTGTCAGCTACACTAAATGGTGACAATGACCTAAATGGTGACAAATGGTGACAGTGATCCCAAATAGTGACAGCTACACTAAATCGTGACAGTAACCCTGAAATACTGACAGTGACCTCAAATGGTGACAGTGACCCCAAATAGTGACAGTGACCCTAGCTAGTAACCCTGGTCCAAAATGGTGGCAGTGACCCCAAAGGGTGACAGTGACCCCAGAGGGTGGCAGTGACCCCAGAGGGTGACCCTGGCCCTGAAATGGTGGCAGTGACCCCAAACAGTGGCAGTGACCCCAAAGGGTGGCAGTGACCCCAGAGGGTGACCCTGGCCCTGAAATGGTGGCAGTGACCCCAAACAGTGACAGTGACCCCAAAGGGTGACCCTGGCCCTGAAATGGTGGCAGTGACCCCAAAGGGTGGCAGTGACCCCAGAGGGTGACAGCCCGACCCCACTCCCGTCCCNGGTTCTCCTGAGGTTCTCCTGAGGTTCTCCAGGGGTTCTCCTGAGGTTCTCCAGGGCTTGTCCAGGGGTTCTCCAGAGGTTCTCTAAGGTTCTTCCAGGGGTTCTTCAAGGCTTGTCCAGGGGTTCTCCTGAGGTTCTCCAGGGGTTCTCCAGGGCTTTTCCAGGGGTTCTCCAGAGATTCTCTAAGGTTCTTCCAGGGGTTCTCCAGGGGTTCTTCAGGAGCTCTCCAAGGCTTTTGCAGGGGTTCTCCAGGGGTTCTCCTGAGGTTCTCCAGGGGTTCTCCAAGGCTTTTCCAGGGGTTCTCCATGGGTTCTCTAAGGTTCTTCCAGGGGTTCTTCAAGGCTTGTCCAGGAATGTCCCATTCATTCTCCAGATGTTCTCCAGGGGTTCTCCAGGGCTTTTCCAGGGGTTCTCCTGAGGTTCTCCTGAGGTTCTCCAGGGGTTCTCCAGGGGTTCTCCAGGGGTTCTCCAAGGCTTGTCCAGGAATGCCCCAGTCATTCTCCAGATGTTCTCCAGGAGTTCTCCAGGGGTTCTCCAGGGCTTGTCCAGGAATTCTCCAGGGGTTCTCCAGGGCTTTTGCAGGGGTTCTCCATGGGTTCTCCAGAGGTTCTCCAGGGCTTGTCCAGGGGTTCTCCAGAGGTTCTCCTGAGGTTCTCCAGGGGTTCTCCAGGGGTTCTTCAAGGCTTGTCCAGGAATGCCCCAGTCATTCTCCAGATGTTCTCCAGGAATTCTCCAGGGGTTCTCCAAGGCTTTTGCAGGGGTTCTCCATGGGTTCTCCAGAGGTTCTCCAGAGAAGCTCCGGGGGTTCTCTAGGGCTTGTCCAGGAATGCTCCAGAACTTCTTCAGATGTTGTCCAGGGGTTCTCCAAGGATTCTCCTGAAGTTCACCAGGGGTTCTCCAGGACTTCCCCAGGGGTTCTCCAAGGCTTTTCCAGGACTTCCCCAGGGGTTCTCCAAGGCTTTTCCTGGGATTATCCAGGGGTTCTCCAAGGCTTTTCCAGGGGATTCTCCAGAGCTGTGTTGCTCAGCCCGCACATTTTTGCTTGTTATCCCATGGGATTCATGATCGTGAATGATCCCATGAATCGTTATTCCCAAAAAAACCCGCGTGAGAACCTGGGGCCAGGGGCTGGATTTGGGTGGGAATTCGGGACGGCCGCGCTCCACGGAGCCCTGGTGCCGTTGCAGATGGCTCAGCGCAAGATCCGCGACATCCTGGCGCAGGTGAAGCAGCAGCACCAGAAGGGCCAGGGCGGCCAGAGCCAATCCCGGAGGAAATAGGGATCCCGAATGCCGGGAGAACGAGGACACGGCACGGCCAGGCCGGGCTGCGATGCCTGGGAATCAGCGACCGCAGGGAGACGGGGAATGCGCGGGGAGACAGATGGGGAATGGATCCATGGGGACTGGGAATCCACGGGGAGATCGGGAATGGATCCACGGGGAGATCGGGAATGGGCAGGGATTGGGAATGGACAGGGAGACGAGGAATTGATCCGCAGGGATTGGGAATGTGCAGGGATTGGGAATGGACAGGCAGCGGGAATCCGCAGGGAGACAGATGGGGAATGGATCCACAGGGATTGGGAATCCACGGGGAGATCGGGAATCGATCCATGGGGATTGGGAATCCACGGGGAGATGGGGAATCAATCCACAGGGTGATGGGGAATCCACAGGGATCGGGAATGTGCCAGGATGGGGAATGTGCAGGGATNGATCCTGATGGGGATCCCACAAACCAGAGCCCCTCTCATCCCCAACATGATCCTGATGGGGATCCCACAAACCAGAGCCCCTCTCATTCCCGGCATGATCCTGATGGGGATCCCATAAAACCAGAGCCCCTCTCATCCCTGGCAGGATCCTGATGGGGATCCCACAAACCAGAGCCCCTCTCATCCCCGTCATGATCCTGATGGGGATCCCACAAATCAGAGCCCCTCTCATCCCCAACATGATCCTGATGGGGATCCCACAAACCAGAACCCCTCTCATTCCTGGCATGATCCTGATGGGGATCCCACAAATCAGAGCCCCTCTCATCCCCAACATGATCGTGCCTTGTCCCAGTCCCATTCCTCCCCTCAATTCAATCCCCCATATCCCACATTTTGATCCCCTCAGTTACAATCCCAATCCCTGTATCCCATATTTGGTTCCCCCAATCCCAATCCCAATCCCCACATTTGTCCCCCAGCTGCAGTCCCCGTATCCCATATTTGGTTCCCTCAACCCCAATCCCTACATTTTGTCCCCCCAGCTGCAGTCCCCATATCCCATATTTGGTTCCCCCAATCCCAATCCCAATGCCCATATCCCACATTTGTCCCCCAGCTGCAATCCCCATATCCCATATTTAGTTTCCCCCAATCCCAATCCCCATAGTCCATATTTGGTTTTCCCCAGTCCCAATCCCCATATCCTGGATTTGGTTCCCCCAATCCCAATCCCAATCCCAATACCCACATTTGTGCCCCCAGCTGCAGTCCCCATATCCCATATTTGGTTTCCCCCAATCCCAATCCCAATCCCAATCCCAATCCCAATCCCAATCCCAATCCCAATCCCAATCCCTACATTTTGTCCCCCAACTGCAGTCCCCATATCCCAGATTTGGTTTCCCCCAATCCCAATCCCCATATCCCATATTTGGTTTCCCCAGTCCCAATCCCCATATCCCATATTTGGTTCCCCCCAATCCCAATCCCAATCCCCATATCCCATATTTGGTTTTCCCCAATCCCCATATCCTGGATTTGGTTCCCCCAATCCCAATACCCACATTTGTGCCCCCAGTCCCAATCCCCATATCCCATATTTGGTTCCCCCAATCCCAATCCCAATCCCAATNCAATTTCTCCCAATTTTTTCCCATTTTTTCTCAATTTTTCCCAATTTTTTCTCCCAATATTTTTTCCATTTTTTCCCAATTTTTTCCCATTTTTTCCCCCTCACCTTCCACATTCGAGGTTTTCTTCACTTTCTTCTCTCCCACTGTTTTCTTCACTTTTTCCTTTTTACCTACAAAAAAAAAAAAAACCCAAAAAAAATGGATTTGGGGGAAAAAAAAATTATTTTTTCAGGGGAAAAACCCCAAAATTTAAATGAAATCCAGGGCAATTTATGAGGAAAAAAAGGGAGATTTTAGGGGGGAAAAATTCAGATTTTTTGGAGTAAAACAAACTCAAAATTTGAATTAATTCTGTGGGATTTTGGAGCTAAAACATCCCAAAATTTAAATTAAATCCAGGGCAATTTATAGGGAAAAATTCGGGATTTTTTGGGGTAAACCAAACCCAAAATTTAAATTAATCTTTAGAATTTTAGGGGCAAAAAAATAAACAAAATTTAAATTAAATCCAGGGCAATTTATAGGGAAAAATTTGGGATTTTCTGGGGTAAAACAAACCAGAAATTTAAATTATTCTGTAGAATTTTAGGGGCAAAAAAACCCCAAAATATAAATTAAATCCTCAATAATTAATTAAACTGACTAATAATTCAATAATAATTAAACAAGCTCAGGAATGAAAGAAAATCAATTATTTAGCACCAGATAATTTCTTATTAAAAGCCAATGAAATTAAAATGAATTAAGCCAATTAATTAATAACTAATCACTAATTAATTCTTAATTAATTAATGAAGATCAACCTCACCTGTCAGGACTTTGGTGCTCGGGACTTTCCTGGGAGGAGAAAAAAACCACCAAAAAAATCAATTTAATTAATAATTATTAATTATTAACCCCCCAATTAAAGGGCAAAATTGGAGCCCCTGGAGTTCTTGTTATTGTAATTAACATTAATTAATTAATGAGGGTCTCACTTGGTGCTGGTTGGGGTTTTTTTGGGGTTCAGAACTCGTTTTTTCACCGTTTTCTTCGCCTGGAAATGGGGAAAATTGTGATTTATTAATAATTGATATAATTGATTAATAATCAATATAATAATAGATATTAATTAGAAATGGGGTTCTGAACTTTAATTAGTTAATGCTTGTTAAGTAGTGATAAATTATTACTTATGGCTGCTGTTAATNTCATGTCCATCCTGTGTCCATCCATGTCTGTCCCATGTCCATCCATGTCCATTCATCCATGTCAATCTCATGTCCATCCCGTGTCCATCCATGTCTGTCCCATGTCCATACATGTCCATCCATCCATGTCAATCTCATGTCCATCTGTGTCCATCTGTGTCCATCCTGTGTCCGTCCCATGTCCGTCCATGTCCATCCATCCATGTCAATCTCATGTCCATCCCATGTCCATTCCTGTCCATCCATGTCCATCCCTGTCCATCCCTGTCCATCCATGCCAATCCCATGTCCATCCCTGTCCATCCATGTCCATCCCGTGTCCATCCATGTCAATCCCATGTCCATCCCTGTCCATCCATGTCCATCCCTGTCCATCCATGTCCATCCCATGTCCATCCCTGTCCATCCCTGTCCGTCCCTGTCCATCCCTGTCCATCCCTGTCCATCCCTGTCCATCCATGTCAATCCCATGTCCATCCATGTCCATCCCTGTCCATCCATGTCCATCCATGTCCATCCCATGTCCGTCCCATGTCCATCCATGTCCGTCCCTGTCCATCCATGTCCATCCATGTCCATCCCTGTCCGTCCCATGTCCATCCCTGTCCATCCATGTCCATCCCTGTCCATCCATGTCCGTCCCGTGTCCGTCCCGTTGCAGATCGCGCCCCCGGAGACGCCGGACTCCAAGGTGCGCATGGTGGTGATCACCGGCCCGCCCGAGGCGCAGTTCAAGGTTGTCACTGCTGTCACCCCGCTGGGGACATTGGGGTGACCCTGGGAGGGAGGGCAGGGGGTGACCCCAGTTCCGAACCCTCAATCCACACATGGGGAATGCCAGGATTGGGTTTGGAATTCCAAGGAACCGGGATTTTATGGGATGATGCCCCAGCCCAAACCTGGATGTGGTGGCACCACCTTGGGGACATTGGGGTGTCCTCGGGAGGGAGGGCAGGGGGTGACCCCAACCGAGCCCCAATCCACAAATGGGGAATCCCAAGACTGAGTTTCCCAGGGGCTAAATGGGTTTAGAATTCCAACAAACCGGGATTTTACGGGATCCCAGATCCATGGATGAGGATTGGGGTGGGACATTCCCAACTCCCTGCTCCTGGGGGCTGAGTGGGTTTGGAATTCCAATGATCTGGAATTTTATCAGATCCCAAATCCATGGATGAGGATTGGGGTGGAACATTCCCAAATCCCTGCTCCCAGTGGCCGAGTGGGTTTGGAGTTCCAACAAACTGGGATTTTACGGGATCCCAGATCCATGGATGGGTTTGAGGTGGGACATTCCCAAATCCCTGTTCCCAGTGGCTGAGTGGGTTTGGAATTCCAAAGAACCGGGATTTTACGGGATCCCAAATCCATGGATGGGTTTGGGGTGGGACATTCCAAACTCCCTGCTCCCGGGGGCCGAGTGGGTTTGGAATTCCAACAAACCGGGATTTTTTGGGATCCCAAATCCATGGATGGAATTTGTGGTGGGACATTCCCAAATCCCTGCTCCCAGTGGCCGAGTGGGTTTGGAATTCCAACAAACCGGGATTTTTTGGGATCCCAAATCCACGGATGGGTTTGAGGTGGGACATTCCCAAATCCCTGTTACCAGTGGCCGAGTGGATTTGGAATTCCAACAAACCGGGATTTTACGGGATCCCAAATCCACGGATGGGTTTGAGGTGGGACATTCCCAAATCCCTGTTCCCAGGGGCTGAGTGGGTTTGAAATTCCAAAGAACCGGGATTTTACGGGATCCCAAATCCCGTAAAATTGGGACATTCCCAACTCCCTGTTCCCGGGGGCTGAGTGGGTTTGGAATTCCAACAAACCGGGATTTTTTGGGATCCCAAATCCACGGATGGGTTTGAGGTGGGACATTCCCAAATCCCTGCTCCCGGTGGCCGAGTGGGTTTGGAATTCCAACAAACCGGGATTTTTTGGGATCCCAAATCCACAGATGGGTTTGAGGTGGGACATTCCCGACTCTTTCCCTCTCCAGGCTCAGGGCAGGATTTACGGGAAGCTGAAGGAGGAGAATTTCTTCGGGCCCAAGGAGGAGGTGAAGCTGGAGACGCACATCCGAGTNTTCCCGTTCCCAGGGCTGACGAGGTCCCCCTGAAGATCCTGGCCCACAACAACTTCGTGGGGCGCCTGATCGGCAAAGAGGGACGGAACCTCAAGAAGGTGGAGCAGGACACCGAGACCAAAATCACCATTTCCTCGTAAGGATCGGAGAAGGAGGATGAGGATGAGGAGGATGAGGATGAGGGGAGAGGTTTCAGCCCCCAAAGTCCTCTCAGGAATCCTCGGGGTTGGGTTTTCTGTGCTCTCCCTTTTCCCGTCCGCTTTGGGGTGCCCTGCCAGAGCTTTGGGGTGCCCTGGGTGTCCCCAGCCGTGTCCCCATGGAGGAGGAGGAGGAGGACTGGGAATGAGGATGAGGATGGAGATGGGGGAGAGGTTTCAGCCCCCAAAGTTCTCTCAGGAATCCTCGGGGTTGGGTTTTCTGTGCTCCCCTCTCCCGTCCCCTTTGGGGTCCCCTCCCCTGGTTTTGGGGTATCCCTGGTGTCCCCATCTGTGTCCCCATGGAGGAGGATGAGGAGGATGAGGAGGATGGAGATGGGGGAGAGGTTTCAGCCCCCAAAGTCCTCTCAGGAATCCTCGGGGTTGGGTTTTCTGTGCTCTCCCTTTTCCCGTCCCCTTTGGGGTGCCCTGCCCTGGCTTTGGGGTGCCCTGGGTGTCCCCAGCAGTGTCCCCATGGAGGAGGAGGAGAAGGACTGGGAATGAGGATGAGGATGGTGATAGGGGAGAGGTTTCAGCCCCCAAAGTTCTCTCGGGAATCCTCAGTGTTGGGTTTTCTGTGCTCCCCTCTCCCGTCCCCTTTGGGGTTCCCTCCCCTGGCTTTGGGGTGCCCCTGGGTGTCCCCAGCCGTGTCCCCATGGAGGAGGAGGAGGATGAGGAGGATGGAGATGGGGGAGAGGTTTCAGCCCCCAAAGTCCTCTCAGGAATCCTCGGGGTTGGGTTTTCTGTGCTCCCCTTTTCCCGTCCCCTTTGGGGTGTCCTGGGTGTCCCCATCTGTGTCCCCATGGAGGAGGAGGAGAAGGACTGGGGATGAGGATGAGTAGGATGGAGATGGGGGAGAGGTTTCAGCCCCCAAAGTTCTCTCGGGAATCCTGGGTGTTGTGCTCCCCTCTCCCGTCCGCTTTGGGGTCCCCTGCCCTGGCTTTGGGGTGCCCTGGGTGTCCCCATCTGTGTCCCCATGGAGGAGGATGAGGAGGATTGGGGATGAGGATGAGGAAGATGAGGATGAGGGGAGAGGTTTCAGCCCCCAAAGTCCTCTCAGGAATCCTTGGTGTTGGGTTTTCTGTGCTCTCCCTTTTCCCGTCCGCNATTGGGAATCCACGGGGAGATGGGGAATCAATCCACAGGGTGATGGGGAATCCACAGGGATCGGGAATGTGCCAGGATGGGGAATGTGCAGGGATCGGGAATGGACAGGGAGCAGGAATCCGCAGGGAGATGGGGAATCGATCCACGGGGATTGGGAATGGGCAGGGATTGGGAATCCACGGGGATTGGGAATCCACGGGGAGATCGGGAATCGATCCGCAGGGATGGGGAATGGGCAGGGATTGGGAATGGACAGGGAGCGGGAATCCGCGGGGAGACAGATGGGGAATCGATCCACGGGGATCGGGAATCCATAGGGATCGGGAATGTGCAGGGAGATGGGAAATCAATCCACAGGGATCGGGAATGTGCCGGGATGGGGAATGGGCAGGGGGACAGGGAATCCATCCACAGAGAGACAGAGAATCCATAGGGATCGGGAATCTGTGGGGATCAGGAATGGATGGGGATCGGGAATCCACGGGGAGACGGGGAATCAATCTGCAGGGATTGGGAATGTGCCAGGATGGGGAATGTGCAGGGATTGGGAATGGACAGGGAGCAGGAATCCGCGGGGAGATTGGGAATCGATCCACGGGGATTGGGAATCCACAGGGAGACGAGGAATCCACAGGGATTGGGAATGTGCAGGGATTGGAAATGGGCAGGGATTGGGAATCCACAGGGAATTAATCCACAGGGATTGGGAATGGACAGGGGGACAGGGAATCGATCCACAGAGAGACGGAGAATCCATAGGGATCGGGAATCCGTGGGGATCAGGAATGGACAGGGATGGGGAATGGGCAGGGATTGGGAATAGACAGGGAGACAGGAAATCCACAGGGAGACGGGTAATCAATCCACAGGGATTGGGAATGTGCAAGGATTGGGAATCCATGGGGAGATCAGGAATCCACAGGGATTGGGAATGTGCCAGGATGGGGAATGTGCAGGGATTGGGAATCTGTAGGGATGGGGAATGGACAGGGATTGGGAATGGACAGGGAGCGGGAATTGGCGGGGAGATCGGGAATCGATCCACGGGGATTGGGAATCCACGGGGAGATGGGGAATCCACAGGGATCGGGAATGTGCCAGGATGGGGAATGTGCAGGGATTGGGAATCCGTAGGGATTGGGAATGGACAGGGAGCAGGAATCCGTGGGAAGACGGGGAATCGATCCACAGGGATTGGGAATCCGCAGGGAGACAAGGAATCCACAGGGATTGGGAATGGGCAGGGATTGGGAATCCACAGGGAATTAATCCACAGGGATCGGGAATGTGCAGGGATTGGGAATCCACAGGGAGACGGGGAATCCACAGGGATTGGGAATGTGCAGGGATTGGGAATGGGCAGGGGGACAGGGAATCCACAGGGAGACGGGGAATCAATCCACAGGGATTGGGAATGGACAGGGATTGGGAATAGACAGGGAGACAGGGAATCCATCCACAGGGAGA